AGAAAATACTGGGTGTGAGCTAGAAAATACTCTGTGTGAGCTATAAAATACTGGAGATGGAGCTAAAAAAATATTAGGGATGAGCTATAATAGACAATAATAGTAATAGGGATAATCTAGAAAATATTACGGATCAGCTAGAAAATACTGGGGAAGAGCTAGAAAATATTACGGATGAGCTTTAAGGAAATAAGGATGAGCAGAAACATATTAGGGATGAGCTAGAAAGTTTTAGGGATCAGGTTGAAAGTATTGGGAATGAGCGAGAAAATATTAGGGCTGAGTTTAAAAAATAATGAGAACTGGATACGAGCTAAAAAGTACTGGGGATGAGCTAGAAAATATTAGGGGTGACCTAGAAAATACTGGTGATGAGCTAGAAAATACTGGGGATGGAGATTGAAAATATTAAGAATGAGCTAGAAAATAATAGGAATAATCTAAAAAAAGACTTGTGATGAGCTAGAAAATGTTAGAAATTAGCTTTTAAAAAAATATACTGGGAATGATCTAGAAAATACTGAGGAACACTGGGGGTCAAATACAAAATGCTAGGAATCGAGCTAGAAAATACTGAGGATTTACTAGAAAAAGTAAGGGATTAACTAGAATATACTGAGGATGAGCTAGAAAATATTATGGTTGTGCTAGAAAATACTGGGGATTGACCAAGAAAATACTGGGGATAAGCTAAAAAATATTAGTGATGAGCTGGAAAATATTAGGGATAAGATATATAAATATACTGGAGATGAGTTAGAAAATAATACGGATGGGCTAAAAAATATTAGGGATGAGCTAGAAAATATTGGGAATATGCTGAAAAATTGTTTTGTAAAGCTAGAAAATAATAGGGTTGATTTAGAAAATATTACGAACGAGCTAGAAAATACTGGAGATGAGCTAGAAATCAGAAGAGATTAGCAAAAAAGCACATTAAAGATGAGCTAGAAAATACTGGGAATGAGCAAGAATTCAATAGGAATAATCTAGAAAAAATTGGGGATGAGCTAGAAAACCGTTGGGAATTTTCGGGATAAGCTAGATATTATTAGGGATGAACTAGAAAATATTATGGTTTAGCTAGAAAATACTGGGTATGAGCTAGAAAATACTGGTGATGGAGCTAAAAATATCGAGAATTATCTAAACTATTTAACAATATTAAGGATAAACTAAAAAATATTAGGGACGAGATAAAAACAATACTGGGGATAAGCTCGAAAATGATAGTGATAGTCTCGAAGATATTAAGAAGGAGCATGAAAATATTATGGATGGGCTTGATTATTCTGGGGATGAGCTAGAAAATATTACGGATGAGCTAGGAAATACGGGTAATGAGCTGGAAAATATTATATATGAGCTAGAAAATACTGGGGATGAGCTAGAAAATATTAGATAGGAGCTAGAAAATACTGGGGATGAGCCAAAAAATACTGGGGATGAGCTAGAAAATACTGGGGATGAGCTAGAAAATAGTTGGGAATATTTGCGATAAGCTAAATAATATTATGGTGGAGCTAGAAAATACTGGATATGATCTATAAAATACTGGGTATAGAGCTAAAATGTACTAGGGATTAAAAAATAAAAATATTAGGGAGGAGCTTTAAAATATTAGGAATGAGGTAAAATATACTGGGAATGAACTATAAAATACAGTAGTCTCCGCCTAAGATCCCGGTGCTCGGGAGCAAGGAAATGCGGGATCTTAGGCGAACCGGGATCTTAACAGATGAACCCAGGGAAGAATCTATGGTGAACCATGTTAAGGCTCACAATCGATAAAATGGTCTCCCTCCACTCTAAGATGAACTGGCGTGCCCCCTTGGTGGGTTTATGGCATATGGCGAGCGAAGAGTGGTTAACTTTGATGACCTATCGCAGTGCATAGGGGCATGAGGCGAGCCTTTTTCACTTATTATCCTATCATGAGTCTCAAGATCTACGCTTTTCCAGATACCCCTCCCCTTTACCTGTCATAAATTTACAGCTTTCCATCTCTGACTGAGCCCCCCCCCCCCCAACCGCCTTTGTCGTTACACACCATTACGTTGTGAACACACCAATTAAAATTCAGTCTGTCTCGCAAATTCGGGAGTAGAGACAGGTGCTAATGGTCGAGGAAGAGTTCACAGTTCAATGTGATCCCGCCTGGAGCGAACGTGTAGGCCCTACCCACCCAGCGAGTGATGTAAGTTTAGGGTGAGAGCTCAGGTGTGAGTGCGATGTTCGGGGAAAACAAACGTGTCGGTCAGTTCACACCCCGGTGTGATCCCGTCTGGGGCAAACATTGTATCGCTTCATCGAGTTTTACAACGTGTATGTGATCACATTCCTGATAGTCGCTGATCTTTGACGCGACTGACATTTTATATTGATCTCAACTTTTCACTCTTGGTTGATCGGCTGTCCCGCCCGCGTTTTTGTTCCGCAAATTATGATCTGAAATGCGGGATCTTAGCCGAATGTTGACCTTCAGAGTGAATCAGAGCGGGATCTTATGGGTGACTTTTGTATAGTAAAAATTTTGTTTTCTTAAAACAGCGGGATCTTAAGCGAACCGGGATCGTAAGCGGTGGGATCTTAGGCGGAGACTACTGTAATAGGGATTATCTAGAAAATACTACATACGCGCTAGAAAATAATGATGATGAGCTAGAAATTACTGGGGAAGTGCTAGAAAATATTACGGATGATCTTGGAAATACTTGAAATGAGCTAGAAAATATTAGGGATGAGCTAGAAAGTATTAGGGATAAGATATATAGATATACTGGGGATGAGTTAGGAAATAAAACGAATGGGCTAGAAAATATTAGGTATTAACTAGAAAATACTGGGGATGAGCTGGAATATATTAGGGATGAGCTAGCAAATGCTGAGAATGAGCCAAAAGATAATGGGGATTAGCTAGAAAATAGTTTGAAATATTAGGTATAAGCTAGAAAATATTACAGATCAGCTAGAAAATAATAGGTATAAGCTAGAAAATACTGGGTATGTGGCTGAAATGTACTAGGGATCAGCTAAAAATATTGGGAGGCGCTAGAAAATATTAGGAATGAGGTCCAAAAAAATACTAGGAATGAGCTAGAAAATATAAGAAAGACCAGCTAGAAAATAATAGGTATAAGCTAGAAAATATTACAGACCAGCTAGAAAATAATAGGTATAAGCTAGAAAATATTACAGACCAGCTAGAAAATAATAGGTATAAGCTAGAAAATATTACAGATCAGCTAGAAAATAATAGGTATAAGCTAGAAAATATTACGGATGAGCTTGAAAATAATAGGTATGAGCTAGAAAATACTCTCGGTGAGCTAGAAAATATTAAGGATGAGCTAGAAAATAATAGGAATAAGCTAGAAAATATTGGGGATGAGCTAAAAATGAGTTTATAGTATTCATGATATGCTAGATAACATTAAGGATGAGCTACAAAATATTAGGGTGAGCTAGAAAATACTTTGAATGATCAAGAAAATACTGATGAACACTGGGGGATAGCTTAAAAATAATGGGGATGGGCTAGAAATAATAATAGTTAAGCTAGAAAATACTAGGGATGAACTAGGAAATACTATGGGGATAAACTAGAAAATACTGAGGATGGAGCTAGACAATACTGGGGATGAGCTAGAGAATGTTAAGGATGAGCTAGACAACTGTGGATGAGCTCGAAAATATTACGTTAAAGCCTGAAAATACTAGGGATGAGCTAGAAAATAGTAAGGATGAGCTAGAAAATATTTGGGTATAATTAGAAAATATTGGGGATGGACTAGAAAATAATAGGTAAGTTTTTAAAAATACTGGGGATGATTTAGAAAATACTGGAGATGAGCTAGAAAAATTAAGGATGAGTTAGAAAATAAAAGGAATAATCTAAAAAATACTGGGGATGAGCTAGAAAATAGTTGGGAATATTTAGGATAAACTAGATAATATAAAGGATACGCTAAAATATCAAGGATGAGCTGGGAAATACTGGGAATGATCTAGAAAATTCTGATGAATATGCCTAATGGGAGTGAGCTAGAAAATATTGCAGATGAGCTAGAAAATACAAGGGAAAAGCTAGAAAATACTGAGGATGAGTTAGAAAATAATAAGAGGAGCTGGAAAATACTAAAAATAAACAAGAAAATATTAGGGATGAACTGGAAAATATTAGGGTGGAGCAGGAAAGTATTGGGTATGAGCTATAAAACACTGGGGGTGGAGCTAGAAAATACTGGGGATGAGCTAAATAAATGTTAAGGATGAGCTTAAAAAATTTAATGATGAGGTAGAAAATACTGGGGATGAACCAAAAAATATTACGGATTAGATAGAAACTACTGGGGATGAGCTAGAAAATATTGGGGATAAGCTAGAAAATACTGGGAATGAGCGCAAAAATATAAAGGATGAGCTAAAATGTAATATGAATAATCTAGAAAATACTATGGATAAAAGCTAGAAAAATATTAGGGTTGAGCTAGAAAATTCTTGGGATGAGTTAAAAATTATTAGGGAAGATGGTAAAACATATTGGAGAAGAGCTAGAAAATATTAGGGACGAGATAGAAAATAATATGAATAGTCTAAAAAATATTACGGATGAGATAGAAAATACTGGGGATGAGCTAGAAATTATTAAGGACTATAGCTAGAAAATAATAGGGACAATCTAGAAAATATTACGAATGAGCTAGAAAATACTGCGGGTGAGCTAGAAAATATTGGGAATGAGCTAGAAATACTGGGCATGAGCTACAAAATATTAATGATGAGCTAAAATAAATCACATGAAAAAGAAATCAACATCGAAAGAATTCGCAGTGCTTCCTTAATCGGGGATTGAAAAGTATGAAAAGTGTCGCTGTGCACCGACTGGTCTTTTTCCTCTCAGGAATGGCGGCGCGCCACTCAAGTGGGATACTCGTGACGTCACAGCTAAGACCTCTAGTTCTATTTATAACCTCTTTGGCTTCCACAGGGGTGATAACTCAAACTAAAAATTAAAACCCAAACTCCAAAATGGCTACCCACAAAATGTGTGTCATCCTTGGGCTTGTTGCTCTTGCACATGCAGCATATTCTGCAGCTCAACGTAAGTATATCTAATCTAACCAAGGTTTTTGGCGGTTGTTTTGGCTGACTTGGGGGAAATGTGTTCACTCTTTCATTTTCAAAAGCGTCATTCTATACAGCAAAATCAACGAGGCACCTTGATTTCTCCCTCCTGGCTGGGCACTTGACAAGTGGGGATAGCTAACTAGATTTAGATCTAAATCTAGATCTAGATCTAAATCTAGATCTAGATCTAGAATCTAGATCTAGATCTAGACTTTTAGAAAGTCTAGAGAACGACAGTCTAAACGCCATTAGCCGATATTTATAGTAACAGCCATCTTGTTTGACGTCTTTGATGGATTCCCACACTTCTCTAGCTACAGGCTACACACACACACACACTCAAGTGCGTGCGCACACACATGCACACACCACACACACAAGCGCATGCTCACACACACACACACGTACACATACACACACAAGCCTGCGTGCACACACAGCCCAAGCAGTCGGGGACCGCCACAATAAGATCTAGACAACTGGTGAGGTCTTTCTTGGTTAGGCCACCAAGAGAATCTAAAAGCCCATTCATAAAAGTCACTGCAAACTAAGTTCCAACGCGTTTTCTTTGATGTGTAAGTGTAAGCCTAAAGCAGTAAAAAAAAAATAAGGAAGTGACTATTTCTCTGAACGCTTGGGAAAATAAACTTTACCTCTAGTCTCGAGATTTTTTGGTTATTTGTGAGAGTTCGGTGCCATCTTTCATTTTTTGCCATTCTGCGAGGACTGGGAAGGAGCATTTTATTCGTGTTTATATAATATGAGTTACAGAAGTCTGTGAGGACGGAATCCAAGGGTTCTGACTGGTCATGGAGTTACGCTACTTACTGTACTTTTTAGCTGATTTCCTGTTGTTTTTTTGTCTTTCCATGAATACAGATCGCACATACCTGAGACTGACTGAGCAGGATTTCAGCATGCTCCCTCATGATGTAAGTGATTAAATCATAAATTATTCACTCTGCTGTGCTTACTGCTCATTTTAACACTTAACATTCACTTGGCACTTGGCGCAATAATGCGCCGGTGACAACGCTCCGGCGAGGTGACCGGATGGTATTTTGAATAATTTTGTGACTGCAAAGTGAACGGATAGAAGGATTAAACTGAACCTTGGATTAAGTGAACACTTTCTTCTGGTCCCAACAGTACGAGTTCACTTTAAGCAGACTCCACTGTACAATGTGACGTTTGCTGCAGGTGTTTGCAATGCCTCATAGCTGTGCTTAACCCTGTCCGTACGCCCTGGGGTCATTTTGTATCCCCGGGGTTGTCTTCTTCACATTTTATTTTTAGAATACTTCTAGTAGTATGAAGATCTCTTTGAAACTTTCAGTATTTCTCAAAAAATCATTTTGACAGACTGCTGTGCAAAGCGTACTGATCGGATTAACGAGTAAATTTCTTCTTTGGAAAGTGGTGGCCCAGAGTTCCCCACATAGTATGGATATAATGATATTAAAACACGACGTACAGATAGGGTTAAACATATTTTGTATGACTCTTCCCCTGGTGTTGATCTCCAATTCTTTTTATGTTTATCGGTTAAGTATATCCCAGCAGTCCATTTTTTAAATTGAATAGCACATCCCTTGTTTTTGTTAACCCCTGACACACAAATATCTCCTTCAGGGAAATGAGAAACCTTTCTGTGTCGGATGCGACACATATTTTACCATTTGACACATTTTAACAGAAGTATAGACTTTGGAGAGACCCGAAGGAAATATTTTTAATACAAAAAATTGTCTAGATCTGTTTTCCATTGTTGATCCCCAACAAAATCCTTCATTTTTATAAAGGCCTGGCCTTTATGGAAAATTGTGAAAAAGATTGTTTAAAATTGTTTAATGTTATTTAAAAGTTATTTTAAATTAAGAATTTATTTACATAAAATTTTTTAGCATTTTAGCAGAGGTGTTGACCAGAATCGGGCTGTGCAGTGTACTGTTGAGAATAGAACCAACTTTTTTTGTTCGCGCGCTCATATGACCTTGTGCAGTTGCGAGTGCCATTATAATAATCTTACTAAAACAAAATTAACCCCAGGTAATCTGGTCAGCAGCGAACATCACGTCTTGATAAACAGAAACTGGATGGAAGTGCAACAACCTGTGTCTACAGCTGGGGGGTTTCTTCAGCTTATTTCAAATTATGTGAACAAGTTTTTTGTTTTAGTTTTCTCTGCTTTTCTGAATGTTTTATTTGAAGACTTTATTTGATATTTTGTATTGAACAAGGACTTTTCTTCTCCCCCTCCCCCAGATATTTCTGCAGTGCATATTTGGGCTCCTCCTGACTTGCTATGGTGTGGTCAATGTTGCTGGGAACTTCAAGGAAATCAAAGCCAGTGCAGAGCAGGACACAAAGTAAGAGCAAGTTCTTGGCATTTTATATATATGGTAGCTGTTAAGGACAAGCAGGCTAACCCAGATTTCGGGGGTTTCCAGAAATCTTGACCTACACCAAAAGTGGGCATTGCTCTACCTATAGGGGAAGTTTAGTTTCATTGGTGTGTATATTTGTTTGGTTATAGTTATAAAGAAAACTCCTTGTTTTTTAAAGAAACTGAACAAGGGGCAAAAACTTTACCTTCGATTTTCTCATAACGGCATTTGTCGGGATAGTCCCCTTGTGCTTAAAAGCAACCACATAAAGGTTATGGTGATGACAGTGGTGATGCTGCTTGTGTTATTGCATGGGTTTATGTAGGTAAAATTTTGATGTGGTTATAAAGCGATTGCCTAAGACTCATTTGTGTAATTCTTAGTTATAGTGTGTTGGTAAGTGCTGATGTTTTGTTTTTACTGCTGACCTTTCATGTATTTGATGAGCTTTTGCCAATAGGTGGGTACCTAAAAGGTAGCACAGAAGGTTGATGATAAAGTTTTTAATATATTCCGTTTTTACTTGAATTTTTCTGTTCATGTATGTATTATATGATATCTCCTCCTACAAAAACATGCATTTACGGACCTACTGACGGCAGGCTAAGCTGTGGAACTGACGTTATGTAACACCAAGTCAAATTCTTTCGCACATAACTATGATGACACATTTGTTAGAATTTGAACATACATACAAAATTACTGTAACAGTTTTCTTATTGCTTTTATTTTCCAACATAAGCATGGAGAGCATTTAAAATGGTGAGGTTCACAGAAAAAAGAAATTCTGAATGCCGTTGTGTTTGCATTTGTGTCATCATAGCTGTGTCCGAAAGAAATGAAAAACTTTCTGTTTTCATATAGGCCTATATATGTTAATTAATTTTTTTTAAATTTAGGCAAGCAACGTTTCAGAAGATTAAATTTGGCTCACAATGCATGTGACTGAGGAAAAATGCCACTTTATTCACATTTTGCTACGAATCTCTGGAAAATATCAAATATCTTTTGAACATAACCATGATGACACAAGTGAAAAATACCCTGAAAAGTAATTTATGAAACATAAAATTATTTTAATAGCTTTCTCATTGCTTTAATTTTCAAACATAAGCATGAAGAGAATATAAAATCACAGAAAAAAGAAATTCTAAATGTCTTTGTGTTCACATTTGTGTCATCATAGTTATGTCCGAAAGAAATTAAAAACTTTCAATTTCCATATATATATATTTTAATTCAGTTTTTGAAAATGTGCTCCTCTTTCCTCAAACAAACAAACCTCTGTTCGTCTTGCAAATAGCCTGCGTTCTATCTTTTCCTCCGTGAGCCCCAAGTTGTTCTATTGTGTGGACTCTATTTTTAAATTTTCCATTTCTCTGATCCCATCCAGGACTTGGGAGATGCTGAGCAATCGCCAGGGATTCAACATTTTCCACCATCGCGGGAAAGCATTATTCAACGAAACATGAATCATTTTTACTCTGTCATTTGATCATTCCAATTCATCATCTTCTCATTTCATCCAAACTTGTCTGTAATACCTAGATCCATATTTTAGAGATGATTTCTCATTGTTCCTTGTTCATTATTTTAATTGTGTATTTGCTTGTGTAAAGCACCAAGTTGATCCCCCTGATGGCCTGAGTGGGTCAGTGGGAGGTGTGGTGTACTGACTGAAAAGTGGGTCAGTGGGAGGTGTGGTGTATTGACTGAAAAGTGGGTCAGTGGGAGGTGTGGTGTACTGACTGAAAAGTGGGTCAGTGGGAGGTGTGGTGTACTGACTGAAAAGTGGGTCAGTGGGAGGTGTAGTGTACTGACTGAAAAGTGGGACAGGGGAGGTGTAGTGTATTGACTGAAAAGTGGGACAGGGGACGTCCAAGTAACGGCACGTTTCCAACTTGTGCACTGGTGTTGTCTTCTGTTTCTTCTTTTTTTTTTACTTCAGTGTTTCTGTTGTAATAGATCTTTTCCCTGGTGAAATGTGACCATTATGGCATCGAGTTGCTTAATACAGCTCTTCATTGTTATCCTTTATCTCTTTTCTGTTGCCGAGAAATTGACCTTTCCTTAACATTATCCCTTAGATCTGACTATGGGGGGGTTTTCATGCTCTGCTCTGCCAATTTGGTATAAATCAAAGTAGTTGTTATGAGTTGGATGTCCCTCGGGTGAAATTAAGTTTATGTGTTAGAATTAACACTGAACCCTTTCCGTATATCAATGATTGTAGTCTCTGCCAAAATAAATTTTTCAAGGCATTGCTTGCGCTAAGTCTCTTTTTCGGTTTTATGTCTCAAAACTTTTGTGCTTTTGTAAGGTTCAAGACGTGCCTTACTCGATAAAATATGCCTTTGTGGTGGGGGAAACTTTTATCAGTCTTGAGCAATACTCGGGCTTGCAGTGTCTCTCCATTTTGAATGCTTTTCTGAATTACTCCAGTAATTTATTTATTTATTTATTTTTTTAAATTGATATTTATTTGTTTTACGGAGATAGGTTTTTCTTATTGTCCCATTGTTTTCTGCACATGTCATTTTATCATCTCACAGTAGTCATAGGCTGCTACATTTACTTATATCTCAGTGCTGTTTTGGTTATATGGCATTGATTGATTTTTTGGTACAGGGAAAGGTGAAGGGGCTTTATTTTCTTTTTTTTTAATGTTTGGAGGGAGGGTCGGGTAAGCAGACCTGCCACTCATCCCGATTTAATCGGGATATCCCGATTTTTTGCCCCAAATCTCAAGCATCCCGATTTTCCCGATTTCGATCGCCAGTATCCTGATTTTTTGCTGTTGTGTCTGTTGCGTCCGATTCTTAGAAAAAATAGAAAAAGTTCTGCAATCTCTTTTTTTTGGAAGCACCGATTGGGTTTTTTATCGGCAGGAACTTGGAACGCTATTTTCTAAAGCATCTATGCCGAATCTAGAAGATGACTCACGCACGTTATCTCAACTAAAATCGACATAGTATCGATTTTGAATTCCGACTTGGATACGCTCAAAGATCTACTTTCGCTTTTATAACTCAGAGTTCTCCGATGGTGGCCTGATTACTGTAACAATTATGACATGGGCCTAAGAATAATCTATTCCTTGTTCTGCCGTTGCTTTAAAAGCGAGCTTCGTCTGAGTTCTGGTTAGTCGGGCCCATCACCAAGACCTGTCAGTGGAACTTTCAAACGCTCATTCGCATCACGTGACATGACCTCATACGTGTGGTGAGTAGCGCGTGTGTCGGGGACCGTCGGCTGTCAGGGTCAACAAAGTTCATTCACACTGGTCGCGTTGGTCGAGGTGTTTTCCGGGACTTAACCAGTGTGGACGACCAGGGGGGGGGGTATTGTTTTGACACTTGGGCTTTAAGTGCATGCCGTGTTACATGTACTAATTGAGGATAAAGGAATAAGAAAAAAGAAATAAATGAACGGCGTTGACGCGATCTTTTTTTTTCGGGGGGTGGTGCCTTGAGTGTATATGCGATGAAAGTCAAACGTTGTTACTGAAGCTGAATGAAAACGCGGGCTTTTTGCATGGATGATTAGAGTTATGTGTCAGTTATTTTCAAGACTACGAGAGTTTCAGCTTTACTGCAACCTGCGCTCCCCCAGTCTATCCCACTCCGACTCGAGTAATGCTGTCTTTCAGTTTTCCTTCTATTTACAGGCCCAAACGTGAACTTATTCCTGCAAGTTTTCTCTTGCATACTTGTCTCATAAAGGGGAACCAGGACCCCTTCCCC